TTCCTGGTTACACAGGTTAGAACGTGAAAGCTCAGGCGGAAGGAGACACTTTTTTGTCTGTTTTCTTAGGCAGGGTTTATGTGGATGTCTGATAGGACTCTGATAGGAGTCATTCAGTTTGTGACTGTTGGGTCTGCAGATCCTGGTAGCCCTGAGGCATCTTCACTTCAAGAACATCGTCCACTGTGATCTGAAGCCTGAGAACGTCCTGCTGGCCTCTGCAGAGCCGTTTCCTCAGGTTAGTACAAATGCACTTTCCCACACTGAGGCAGCTCACCCAGGTGTTGCAATTGGTTGGAACTTGGTTGCTATTGCGCTGGTCCTTGATGTCATTCAGCTGCTTTCCAGGGAGCCTTGTCTTTGGGTCTGACAGTACTCCACACCAGTGCACTGCAGACCACAAGAACCAGAAGTTTTCATAGTACCGATCTCACCAAGGGTCCAGAGCAGAACGATAGTCGCCGCCACAGCTACCTTCTGTTTAATTATAAATTAGAAGGACGAGGAACTCACGGGAGAGCCAGTGGATTAATGCTGCATTTTTCCCCCCCTCTCAACCAGGTGAAGCTCTGCGACTTTGGTTTCGCTCGTATCATCGGGGAGAAGTCGTTCCGCCGCTCAGTGGTTGGCACTCCGGCCTACTTGGCGCCCGAGGTGCTCCGCAGCAAAGGCTACAACCGATCTCTGGACATGTGGTCGGTCGGCGTCATCGTCTACGTCAGTCTGAGCGGGACGTTTCCCTTCAATGAGGACGAGGACATCAATGACCAGATCCAGAATGCCGCCTTCATGTACCCAGCCAACCCCTGGAAGGAGATCTCAGAAGAGGGTAAGGGAACATCTGGACTTGGGTTCATTCATGTTCACATTTGTAACAGTTTGTGTGTTTTAACGCTACTTGACTATTCTTCTCCGACAGCCAAAGACCTGATTAATAACCTGCTGCAGGTGAAGATGAGGAAGCGCTACAGCGTGGACAAGTCGCTGAGCCACCCCTGGCTGCAGGTAACCAAACTGCTTTCCTTAGAAGAGTCTGCAGTATCGCATGAGCGTTATTAAAGTAAATAAAGATTTAATAATAATAATAATAATAATAATAATAATAATAATAAATTTTATTTATGAGCGCCTTTCAAGTCACCCAAGGACACTTTACAATAAGATAAAACACTTAGTAAAACAATGGCAGAATAAGAACAATAAAATAAAAGCACAAGATAAAATGAACAAACAGTGGATTCACAGTGAATATGCAGTACTTAATGAAAGTAAAACATTTATTCCCCCCTTTAGGAAAAAATGTAATGAGGTCATAGAGCAAGAAGGGCCAAGGCTGGTTTCTCATTCACTAGTCTTTGTGTAACCACAGGAGTCGCCCCCTGCTGGCCATTAGAATGAATGCAGATTCACGTTGGCTTCATATTTATGTTTTCGACTTGGAAGCTGTGTCCATCTTTTGTGTACAGTCTGTGATGCAGGACATAAAGTTATTATTTTAACTCTGTTTTTGAATGATCAAATCATACCTTAAATCACTGATTTAAAGGGACAGTTGACCTCTATATCAAATATACAACAATAGATTTTCTCAGGCTTATAGACATGCTTCTTAGCAGATTTCCACAGCCAAGGGGCAACCAATCAGAAGAAAGTTGGCTTAATAGGGGGGAGGAGCTAAAATGGCTTGTTTCAAATGGAGGATGAACTGGTCCAGTCTAACATAAATAAGGATTATTTTGAGCAATGAATCATGCAAAGCTCCTGTAGCAGTCAAAGATGGAGTGAAAGCTGAGCATAAAAAAAGTGTTTAATGTTGTCATTGTCGTCCAGGACTACCAGACCTGGCTGGACCTCAGGGAGTTCGAGACACGGCGAGGTGAGCGATACATCACTCACGAAAGCGACGATGCCCGATGGGAGGAATACGCTGACGAGAGAGGCTTGCACTACCCCAAACACTTCATCATGTCGCCCAACCTGGATGACATGGAGGAGGACCCCTAGAGGCCTTGGCCATGTTGACTTTTCTTAAGAGGGTTAGCCTCAAACCCGGGAAACTGTTGACAGAAGCGCCACTGTGTAGGCCGCAGGCTTTCCCCCATGACGGCGTGTGATGACCCATGAGGACACGCTGATCAGGCAGCTCACTGCAGCGATAATTCAGGTCCAGAGAATTAAAACTTTTCAAATATTTTATCTTTTTCCAGTTTCTTTTTCGTTTCTCAAAGCCATAAACAAACGGACGCTAAGAGCCGAAACACGGAAGCATCGTGTTTTTTCTCCCCAGAATTCAACTTGGGGCTTCAACATACGTCAGCACTGCCAGCGGAGTCGTGGAAGGGCTAATCCAAAACCAAACCAGAGACTCAACTCACTTTTTCAGCTCGATAGCACAGTTTTAGCAGGTGGCCGTTACATTGTAGTTCTAAAAAGCTGTGTAGATGTCAATGTCGTCTTTTGTGACTAACTGGAACTCACGAGAAACAAGCGCTCTCTCCCGACTGTAGTTTTTGTTCTTGTTGGGATGTCTTTGCACTATTGGGAAATTTTTTTTTTCACGAGAATTTCACTGTCAGTAAGTCTCAGTTTGATCATCTGCAAAAGTTTGAAGCCATCTTAGCCTCCCTCGAGGCTGCAATTACAATCTTAAAATTAGAAAATGAATGTTGGCCAAATAGTCAACCAAACATTTATTCAATGCAGATTAAATTACTTTTATCTGACTAGTTTTGAGAACAGATTTGGCCTTTAAAGCATCAAAACAATATCAATGCTATGTTCCAAGACTGCAGTTCCTCTAATGGTCACTTGAGGCTGGCCCTGCGTCTAACAATGCTTCTTAAGTATGAAGTTTATTTAATGAACACTTCCTGGACTCAAATAAGAAATATTTTTTATGTACCATTAATTATTAGTAGAGTTGGTTAGTTTTTCTATTTAAAGAAACTCTTTTGCTAACAGACTTATTTTAGCTGGTGACAGATGCGGACGTTATATTCAAGTTAAGTGGGACATACATCACTGTCTCCGACCTGTAATAATGTGGCTGTATGGCAGAAACTTTTGCAGAGGAACAAACGTGAGTTATTTTCAGAAACTCTGGAAGAGCTGAGAAGAATCGAGCTGCTATTGTCTCCTTTGTCTTTCTGAACTCTAACGTGTTCGTCAATCCCGATCTGACTCCAGCCTGAGAATTTATTTCACATGTTTTATATTTTTGCAAGAAATGTTTTGTCATGTGGATGAAAATATTAAAGATGAACGGCAAAATGCGGGTGAGTCGTCATTGTTGTTCCTGTGCCAGTCGTCTTCTAGACGAGGCTCCAGCACTGTGGAAAAAACAGGCGGACGTCTTCACAGGTCTTGACTTACTCCATAGAGTTTGAGTTTTTCTGGCATTTGCTTTGCGCACTCTCAAGACAAAAACTTTGCCTTTATTTATCAGTCATAGGAAGTGATTTAAACCCTTCATTGGGCACCAGCAGTGTTTTACTCGAGGACTACTTGCACTCTTGTCACACTTCGACAGCCTATCCAAGTTTGCATGTTCTCCCTGTGCCTGTGTGCGCTCTCAGACTTCCTCTCACAGTCCAAAGACATGCGTGTTAGGTTTACTGATTGCTCTGACTGACTGTAGGTTAGTCCTGTGATTAACTAATGACCTGGACAGGTGTTCCACGTCTCACCCTGTGACAGCTGAAACCTTGTGACCCTGCACACATAGATGAAACTGATGGAAACAAATTATGTGGGCAAAATGTTTTTAAAAAAATCTGATTATTTGGGCTTTTTTTGTTTGTTTGTTTTTTTGTTTTTATTTTGAAAAATTGTAGTGTGGGTTTAATAATTGACCATAATTATGGTGGGTGAGAGGCGGGGTACACTCTGGACAGGTCACAGGCCTAACACACAGAGGGACTGACCGCCATTCAAACCAACTTAGAATCACCAAGTGATCTAACCCAACTAACTGCGTGCCTTTGGACTGTGGAAGGAAGCCCGAGTACCTGGAGAGAACACATGAAGTTCATGTGGGGGGGATTTTGTCAAATTTTGAGATTCGACTGTGTCCATGCCAAATCTGACCAAATTAATGAAGACTAACACAAATCTTTATTTTATTCATTTATTTTTAACTTGTTTCAGTTAAATAATGTTCTGTGGAACAAATATTAATGAAGGTTGTAGATCTTCAGTGTAGATCTTTTATAAACTGCTCGCAGTGAGGTTTGTGGATTTCTTGAGGAACGGATCAGTTTTGGATCAATACACATTATTGCTGCTACTTTTTTGTTTTTGTTTTCAATTTTCAATTACTATTTTAATAATTCTAAATAACCACTGCACTGAATCGAAGGCAGGTCTTTTCTGAACAAGTTCCCCCTAAAATTGGGCAACGTGTACATACATATTTTGGTTGGATGTAGCATGAATTTGAATTTGGGGTGGACTGTTTAAGCTACACACAAAGTCTGATGTATCTATTGTGAATTGTTCCAATCTCAAGGATTTAAAAAGCACAAGTGTTTCTAAAATTTCGGATGCCGGTGGCAGATTCAAGGTGATAAACGTTTCAAACGTCTTCGCTCAAAACAGGTTTAATGAAATCATGCAATCCCTTCCAAATGTACTAGTCAGACTCTCCAGCGAGGGACACCATGAATCAGAGGAAAAGCTGATAGCGATCTGCAGGATGTTTGGAAATGATCATTTAATTACCAGTCCTGAACCCGATCGCCGCTCATCTGGAGGGCCGCTGCTTTTTTTGGCAGCAGCGACCCCACCGCCACCACATGTAACCGAATCTTTTAATTTCTACCGGAGGAGCGATGGGCTCGTTGTGAATGGCTGCTGCACAACAGTGAGCTCAGCTAACTGCTTCAAGATGTGCAGGATGGCAGCCGGCTGACCAATGGAACGAAGTGCTGCACAGTTTAATCCAGTCATTCAGTGTCTGGTGTCCATAATCTGACAAATCTGACAAGAACAGTCCACGAATGTTTTAATGTTTTGAAATTTTTATTTATAGGTCATAAAACTACAAAATGTGTTTTCCTTAAATATTTGTTAAAACACATCAGAACATGATCTTTTAAACCAACAGACATTTCGTAATGTCCAAACTCTCACACTCCCCAAGTTAAAGTGCCAAAAACTGCAGTTCCTCTAATGTCCACTTGAGGCTTTCTCCAAAAGGCCCCATAGACTTCCATATTAAAAAGTTCAACTTTACAGCAGAAACAAACATGTTTACAGCTACAAAAGAACAGTTTTGGCCTTTTTGGATAGTTTCCTCCTTTATAATGACTCTACAGGAGTGAATCTAATTAATGACTCACCCATTTTGGATTTCACACAGGCTTAAAGGAAGTGATGAAGCAGCTGTCTGCTCGTTTTTAGCTCTGTAAATCTCTTTGTTTGCTTTGTGGTGCAGTCAGTTCAAGAAGTTTGGGACAGTGTAGTTGTTTACACTCACTACTGACCCGGCAGCCAAAATTTCAAAGTCGTCTCTTTCAGGCGAACTTGAGCTCGGTGAATCCGGCCACAGGCAGCGGTGCCGGGCTCTTCTTCTTCTCAAGCTTCAGCCCCTGTGGTTTCTGGGGCTTGGCAAGGCGACTGGGGTGCAGCAGGCTGAAGAAATGGAAGCGCTCGCCCATCTTGGCGGGGTTGGTCAGCATGTTGTAGCTGCTGATAAGCTGCTTCCTGGTGGACGGGTCGCTGCAGTTCCTCAGCAGAATCTGTGGAGAACAACTGGGGGTTAAAGCCTCGGGGCATACTGTGTGTCTGATATCCTGGTTTTCTAACTGTGGGCCACAGCGTGTCACTCAGAAACACTAAAATGTTTTTGGATCATCTTACAATCATACGATATTTTACTTTTCTTTGTGCTCATTTTTTTAGTTCTGTCACAAAGTAAGTTTCACTGAACTAACAGCTTCACCTGCCCAGAAATGGCGACAATATGTCTGCTGAAAGTTTTTCCCTGCACAGCATTTTTCTGCAGAGGTTGTAATATTTTTAAACTCGTGAATGAACTTTTGCATAAACCTGGTGGGAATGCACCCTAGGTCTGTGTATTCAAATTTTAACCTGAAACTAAGAAAAAGGAGCAGTGAGTCACACTCTTTGATGTTGGATTTCCACCAAATGAGGAAATGACACTAAAAGAAATCATGCTGATTGTTTTTATTGGCATCTGTCAGTGATGAAGACTCACCTGCATCCTGGTGTCAATACCCATGTTCTTCAGGAACGTATTCTGAGTGACGGGGCCCAGACAGGCCACGCCTCCTCCCGCCATCCTCCGCAGATAGTTGAAATCCACGTCTGCGGTGAGGTCGGCAGAGCCAGGGGAGGCGAGGACGTCATGAAGCTGGTGACCTTTAAAACCCTGACCAACAGCAAAGGAGCAAAATGATGAGCAAACCTATGATGGGTTCAACGCAAAACCTTATTTACAGTGGCAGTAGCAAATTTGAGCTAAGTAGCGGCTTCTTACACAGTTTTTCCTTCAAACTACATGAGGGGATGTTTAAGAAGTACAGCATGAATAAAAGGTTTAAAACTAAACCTATTTCTAACCATCTAAAACGATTCTAACCCAGTAAAAAAAAAAAAAAAAAGCTGTGAAATCTTGGCAACCTCAGAAGAAGAATTGAGGAAGAGGAGCGACGGGCCGGTTGACCCTGGTTTCCCCCTGCCTGACGCACAGGAGCCTTTCTGCTTCCTACAGCTGCTTCCTTCCACTAGAGCTGAACAAAACATGCTCACATGAAGGTCTAAACCTCAAACTGGTCCTCACGAAGACAAAAGAATTACAAAGCACGACAGCTGGAGGACACACGGAGTGCACTGTATGTGATCAATAAAAACGACAAATTAAAGACTCAACATACATCCAACTCTGAATTGTTCCTATCAAAATGTGTGCATGAGGTCCTAAAATACTGATGGAAGTATTAGAGACTGCATTAAAGTCAACCTGTTTTTACCACTGTTGTGTAAAATAAGCAGGTCCGTTGAGCTGCTCTAAACCTTTATTCCTGAAATGATTGTTTATTAGTTGATTAACTGCATACTCATACTTACTAATTCAGTTTAAACACTAAAGCATTCAGTTTATTAACAAAAATCTTTGGTTGCAGCCTAGCAGCAGCTTCTGAGGCTACAACATTTAAGTGCACAAAAACTGCAGTTCCTCTAATGTCCACTTGAGGCTGTCTTGAAAAACGAGTCAGTTCCCATACACAAAAACGTCCAACATGTTTACAGCCTGCTACAAAAAAACTGTTTTGGCTTCTGGAAAGCTTCACCCTTCAAAAGAACTGTATAGGGGAGATTTTTTCCCAGTTCATTCACATTTATACTCCATTAATGCTTAAAGTTAGGGGCGTGGTCACTCTGGCAGACTGCTTCCTCTCTCGAGGTTACCTGTGTTGAAAGATGAAATTCTTGGATGATATTAGTATGTTAATTAGCACTAATTAGCAGGTATCTGTATCAGCTGTACAGTTTATGATAAAGCGTGCTAACATAGCTAGAAATGGTGGTAACCTCCATCTTTTGTGTACAGTCTATGGCCAGTCCCTCTTGTTGTTAGGCGTAGTTGGATAAAAACTACCAAACATGAAAGAAAAATAAGTCTTACCATTCTGTTGTATTCGCAGGTATCAGTAATTTTATAACTAGCGTGAATGACATCCCAAAAATCCCTCCTTGAGGCTCAGGTGGGGTCACAGTGGGCAGACCCACCCTGCTCACTGTGGGACTCAGTAGCTGCACATGTAGGGCACATCTGCACTGTGTGCTGCCCACAGTGGGACCCGCAGTGTACCAACCCACCCACCCACCGTACGCCCAGACCCTAGGTGAGGGCTGCCCTACGTGCCCCACACACGCCCCACTGTACGATGCCTACATGTGCCCCACAGTTCCATTTCACGCTGGCACAATCCATCGCAGTAACTGAGGATTTTTTACAATATGCAGACTTGGACGTTTTTATCTGGCTGACTTTGAACATATGTGACACAGGAAGCTTTAGCAGACGGGCTTGATGCGTGTGTCGTACTCTGAACGTGTCCGTCTTGGTTCCATTGTGGCCATAGTCGATGATCAGCGCCGCACCGCCGTCCTCTATGATGCGCCGGGCCAGCTGCTGCACAATGACCCCGCCCTCTGCAGACACTTCCACGTGATCCCGCTTTTCATCTGCCTGACACACACACACACACACACACACACACACACACACACACACACACACACACACACACACACACTAACTTAATAGTACATTGCTTCACTCTATCATCTCTGCTGGAGACAAAAACATGGCTGGACTGTAAACACACACAGGTCAGGTTTCCACCTTTTAAAGGTGGACTGGACATCTTTTGGAATTATTTATTAATCAAAAAGCTGAAATTTCCTCAAGTTCGAGCTTCTCAAATGTGATGTTTTCTTTTCTGCTTTATTTAGCGTTCATTTTTCTTTGACTGGAACAAATGACACTTACAGACGTCTTGTTGAACTCTGAACATTTTCCCTTTTTCAAACAGTCCATAAACAAATGCAGTGTGATAAACTTGATCGGAACAAGTGAGGAGAGTTCAATTCAGCAGTTCGTCTCCTGTTTAAAAAAAAGCTGAACTTAATTTCTCATTTTGTCTTCCTACATTTTCCATGATACCTCAAAAACAACCCTCAGGTACAGTTATCCATCATTTAAGGCAAGAAAAGGATCATTTAAAAGGTGAATCTTCACTACAGACGCAGAAATAACACTGGCTGAAACAGAGTTTCAAAAATTGGTGAGATTACGATGGCCACGCCCTTCTTTTATAGTCAGTTAATCAGCCAGAAATAGTAAACAGACATTTTTTTCTTCCTTTCTGTTGCCTTGCAGATCCCTCAAACCATCTTAAGGGGACTGTATCTGCGACAGATGAGCTTCATCAGTTTGTATTCATAATCATAGCTATGACACCATGAAGGCTGAACCAAGCCCCTTGCCACCCACAGGGATGTGCACCTATTGTGAAGGCAAACCAAGACATCGTTCCCAGGTTGCAATCAAACCAGCCAGCATTCAAGCATGGGTGACGCCCCATAATGAGGAAATAAAGACTGACGAACCCGCTACACCTCCTGACCCGGACAAACAAAATGTCTGGTTACTGTAAACTCATCGAAACAACGTTAGTGTTCGTTGGATGGTCAGTCAGGTCCTGGCACAAAGATTAGTGATCTTCATATGTCACATTTTATGCAACCTCCACGTGGAGCATCACGACTACCAGGACCTTTCGCACCATTTACACCACGGGTGGGGGAACTCCAGGCCTCGAGTGCCGGTGTCCTGCAGGTTTTAGATGTGTCCCAGCTGATTCAAATGGCTAAACGACCTCCTCAACATGTCTTGAAGTTCTCCAGAGGCCTGGTAATGAACTAATCATTTGATTCAGGTGTGTTGACCCAGGGTGAGATCTAAAATCTGCAGGACACTGGTCCTTGAGGCCTGGAGTTCCCCACACCTGATTAACACAGTGAAGAAAAGAGCCTTACAACTAAAGGTCCTCGACATCTTCCTACCCGGGATAGCTGCATCCATCAAAAGTACCAATGGAACCTTCAGGAGGGTAGTTCTAGTCCTGTAGAACATTTCCAGCAGTAATACTCCCTTAAGAGTCACGATTACTCCTGCAGTTTACCTGCACTTTCTGAAATTTCTTCACTTCGACATTCAGACCACTGGCCAGAAATCTCATCACCTCAACAGCCAGCACATGACTTCAAACTGTTCCAAAACTACATCTACTTAAGTGTTTATATTTTCCACAGTGCAAAGGAGAAACAATTCCCCTTTAATCCAAACATCCAGACTTTTATATCCTTGGAGGTTTATCTGAACTTACAAAGCATTTTTTTCACCCACTTTAAAAACTGATGTCCTTCAGTCTTTTAAACGTTGTGGAAATTGACTCTTCAGACAGACTCTCTGAGGTTTGTTTTACAGCCCTCATCTGGTTTTTTATTGCCCACATTTATGCCATCTACACATCCACAGCCTGCTTGATTTGGCCTCTCCAGCTCAGCTCAGACACTTTGAACATCCTGCCAAAGGTCTGACATCATCATCATTATTACTGTCATCGTCTTCCTCGGCAGAAGCGGGTCTTAATAAAAGGCGGGATTCATTTCTCTTTGAGGTCATCTGAACTTTTAAAATTCAAACAATGAGCCACTTTATCTGGTTTCAAGAACCAGAGAGGCCTTAATAAACTGTGATGTGGTAACCATAAAGGAGTGTAGATTTTATTTGGAAACTGTAAAAAGGAGATGTTAATAAATGTGTGCTTTGCTTTCCTGGACACAGAAGCTCTACATTTACTGACCTGCACGAGCGACGTCGAGGCCAGGGTCGGAGCCGGCGCCACGACAAACCTCAGCGTGTCCGGCTTCTCTGGGTCGATGTCCACCAACACCTCCCTCCAGCCTTTCTCCGTCCTCTGCCCCAAACAGAGAAACGGACATGTTTAGATGGGCCTCTGTGGACAAAACAGCTGAAAGGCGTTCTTATTATGAGGGCGCTGCAGGCGTCAACAGCAAACATCAGAGGAACAGCCACTCAGAAACCTTTGCACAAGACATGAAATCTGTTTTTCATATGGTTTTATTTAAACTTAAAGCAGAGCATAATGACTTCGCTACAGGTTTTTCTTGTTAACACAAAGATTCACCAATTTTCACTTTGCTAAAACTCAGATACGGAAAAATTAATCAAAGAACAGTTGCTGCTAAATTACACAAATAACCTATCACATAAACAGCCTATCTTTCACCAAATACAGCCGTTAAACACAGTTTTATGGCCTTCTTGTGTTTTGATTTGGTGCCATCTGGTGGTAGGAACAATCATGACAGTGTAGTCAAATGCAATGCAAGACCACAGTATACAGAGGACTTTAAGGACTAATATGACAGTAAAGAAAAAGCTTTATTGCTACATAAATATTTCACACACTGTGTTTTTAAATCTCACCTGGAATTTGTGAATTGGCAGGGCGTCAAAGAACTCATGAGCGACAAAGATACTAAATCCTGGAAGAAGAGGAAAAACTCAATGAAGATAAGATAACCTTTATTAGTCCCACACGTGGGAAATTTGTTAAATAAAAACAGAGAAAGACAACCAAGACTAGCACAAAACGGTAGCCCATAATTACATAATCTAACTGCTAAAACTTTAGTTACAAAAAATTACGAGAAAGTAAAGAGGAGATAAGAAGGAAGCGCAGAATGAGTGGAGCTGCTGTAACAGGCTGCCACGCACGGGGGGCGCCGGAAGTGAAAAAACATATTTTAATAGAGATTAAAAGCGAACACATAAAGAACTCAAATGGAAACAGTAACAGTATCAGCCTGATGTCCTCAGATCAATTCAGCACTGAAAATACTCACTGTCAAAACCATAAACTGTATATAAAAACAGGGAACACTTCCTCAAACCTGCATTTTTTTTATTGTCCACCAGAGGGCGACTCCTCTGGTAGCAGAATGGCTTCTTATTGTAAAGATATTTCTGAGGTAATGACCCAACTTTTCATTTGAAGCACAAGCAGAGGCTTTCCTAATGACCTTATGGACTCGGTGTTAGTAAAGTCTTACTGAATAAAACACGAGGTTTAATGTGTGATTAACAGTCTAATTTAGTGTTGATGTTAAAGTAGGGTATGTTTGATGAGTGTGCAGTGTACCTCATTTGTCAAATCTGGCTTCAAAACATAAAATGTCTATGGCCAAAACACTCATAAAACAAAACAATGACTTTGGTAACCAGTTTCAGGTATTTGTCATTTTTACACAAACTCCTAAACTATAGATGGACTAACTGTGCTTATGTGCTTACTTTAACCAGGAAACACCCTGCTAACATCTTTAGGTTCTCTAATTTTGTGGCATGGAGTTGTTCCATATAAACCAGTACGACCACAGCCTGCTTTCTGCTCCGGTGTACCTGTCGGGACATCGTCTAACCGGCGGTACCACGACACCGGTAGCCCTGCTTCAGTTTCTCCGCGACGGTAAACCAGATCATCTTCTGCGTCTGCCTCCTGGCTGCGGTTTCCCGTCAGATTCTGAGCCTGAAGCAGACTCAGAGCCGGACTCACCTCGACCAGGTGCAGCGACACAGAGGCCCCGCCCAGCACCGACTGCAACTGACTGAACACCTGAAGAGAGAAAAAATTGCAACTTGATGACACAGATGTTTCCACTTTGGGGTGAAATCTTTAGTCTTTCATAGAAAAGCGTTAAGCCTGGCTGACGTACTCTGATGACGTCACTCGCCAGCGATCCTTTTCCAGGTCCGAGCTCAACCAGCTGCAGCTGTTTGGGTTGACCAGCTCCCATCCACTCACTGATGATCCACACTCCGATCAGCTGGAGGAGACCAAACATGTTTGAACCAGCAGGAGAAGCACAAAGTTTTCTTATCTTACTGAATCTAAACGTGCTGCTTTCAAGGAAAGTCAAGTCATTTCCACCATATGTAGCAGTACAGTACACAGTGAAGACCATGGTGCTACACATAACAGTAGAGACAGGACCGCATAAAGTGCAAGTGTGTGAAAATGGCAAACAAACAGTGCAACAGCACAATACAGACACAACACGGTGCAGAGAGCTTCATACCTGGATCACCAGGTCTGTGACATTAAACAGCTGAACTTTATGCAAAAGGAACTTTTTTTTTACTGCACATGAACACTGATTTCAAGCAGCATGAAAAAACACAAAAGCCCTCACTGTAAGGTGTCTTACTCATCTGTCTTCTTGTCCTGATCACATCATACTTATCGTATTCCAGGGTTTAAACAAAGGAAAACTCACAAAAAAACTTCTTTAAAACCACACTGCCTGTGATTTATCTTTTCGGTAGGAGCCAAATTTTTTTTAAAATAAAGTATGTATGTATTTTATTATACATTCATAGTCATCATATGCATTCATACTGAAAGTCTGTATTCACAAACTGTATTCACTTAGCCTCTGTGCTAAGAAAATGCATTGACCGACCATAGGTGTTTGAAGCCACAATCTCAGTTCCAAACTCTTTGAGCCTCTGAGGCATCACTTTTTCCGTGTGACTCCTGGATTGCTGGAAGATCTCGTTTTTTAAGTACGTTTTTAGTTTTGTTCATTCCTCAAAAAGCAAGAGGACAAGCAGAAGCCCACAAACTGTGACCAGCTCTGACACGATCGGAGCACCAATGAAGCAGGAATTTATCGTCATCTATCAGCATTTGACCTAGAAGCTGATCCCACGTGCCGTGAGAACAGGGCTGCGTCATTTTATACCATACTTGCAAATACCGCTATAATTTTTTTTTTTACATGATATAAAAGCATCATATCATGATATCTATGACACAGGACCATCCTGTTATTCTCCCCAGCACGCACAACAACTGAAAACCAATTAATAATAATTTTTAATGGGCCTATTTTAATTTTTAATTGAAAATATTTTGGAACATATTTACTAGGGGTGCAACGATACACAAAATTCACGGTTCGGTTCGATACTTTGGTGTCACGGTTCGATATTTTTTCGATACAAAAAAATGTTCATGCCTTTTTAAGTTGTCATTTATTAAAATTATAAATATATATTTTAACTCAAAAGTACAGTTTTTAAATTTAACCCTAACCCTTGTGCGTGTTTTTTATTTTGACAGCGAATGCGCACCTGCGGACCACTTATGTGCAGCCCTGGTTATTTAGCTCGTCATATTGCAGCCACAGAAATTCTTTTGTCCATGAAACCATAAAGCTGCACTTTCTTTTTGCCTTATAGTCTGATTTGTCATAACTTCTCCGTTTTGTGGTAAGCTTTTCTTTGGCTGTCACTTCTTCACCCTGACCTCTTATTTGGCTCAGCAGAACTGAAATGCTTTTACACGCTCACTCACATAAGCTCAGCGATTCTCTGCGCGATCAACCTCTCACATGTTTAAGCTTGCTGCGTCATGTTTGCATAGTAAGCTAACGATTAATAAGACGATGTCAGAGGAATTGGTGCACAAATTATCATCACTCACAGATCAGTGCTGTCGCTCTCTATACACAGTTCGCATGATTGCAAAGTGAAAGCAAAAAAACAAGCGCAAATTCAAACGCGACTTCAATATGTCACATATTGACAGTGGCTCACCGATGCCAATGACATAATTACCCAGCTACATTTCTGAAAGAATGCAAAAGCATTGACATATATTTTTCCTACAATAGCCCGACGGGCAGGGAAGAGATAGATTTTGGTAGCCCGACTGAAAAAAAATCGCTAGCTCCGGGACGTCGGGCTAGCGATATTGCAAGCCCTGTATCTGATTGAGGAATCACTCATCTTTGGAAAAGAGAGTTTATTACAGAGAAATGTCTCTTTCCAAAATAAAAGCTATACTATCTGCTTCTTCTGGGCTATATTCTCAGCAGCATAAGGAGAATCATGTGCTAACAGCTGTCTAAATGACTCGACTAAAGTTAGTAGCATGCTTGCTTTTTTTTGTCTGCTTCCACTTGTCTTTGCACTAGGATGATGTCGGCGTAAATGTGCAGTCATATTCGTTGTGTTCCCACTAGTGCTTTCAGGTTAATCTCGTTGAAATGACCTTAACGCCACAACACGGCAAATCTCCGTTAACGAGCTACCGCCGATCGCTCCGTGCATGGGGCTAGACGGCCAACACCTTAACGAGCTAACTGCGCTAACACACTAGTTCACACCAATGTAATTGAGCATTGCATGGCACATCCAACATACTGTTTTACTTTAGTCCATGACTCGCTTACCTTCAGGGTCATACGTCACATGAAAACCAAAATAATTCCAAACGCCAGATCTGAATGAGGTTCAATTTGCCTGTTGCAAGTAGAGCTTAACTTCTGTCTCGCTAGCTTGCCCTGCGCTCTTCCTTCTGACTATGCTGTCTGTGTTGAGCGCTCAGTGGATCTGCGCTCGACAGTGCAGCCTAGGCGGAGTAGTCGAACACAGATTCACTGAGCGCTCAACACAGACAGCATCGTCAGAAGGAAAATTGATAAAATAAATTACAAATGTTGTATTGTTCGATACATATGCGTACCGAACCGAAAGCACTGTATCGAACGGTTCAATATCGATACGAATATCGTTGCACCCCTACTATTTACTATTGATGAAGTATGTGTCAACCGCTAACAGTAAAATGACCGACGAAGGCCGATCAAAGACACGTTTACCTGATGTGAACAGTGTATATCAGAGGCCGGCTGAGTGGAAACATCATGTGGAATGAAACTGAAAGTTTGAGGGGTTTTTCCAGCCTCACCTCTCCAAAGATCTGGCTGATTTCTGGTGAAGTGATGAAATCTCCTTCAGGTCCCAGCATGTTGTTCCTCACATAATAACCCTGAGAAGGGGGAAAACAAACAAGGAAAAGATACTCACTAAAAACAGGAAAACCCGCAGCTGCTTTTACATGCTAACACTATCATTGGATTGGTGGTTACCACAAAGCCCCAGAGAGTTCAGACCACAGGAGTCACTGTGAGGTCTGGGTGTTCATAATTTGAGTTTAAGTTTGTTACAGACAGAGGATGACCTGAGAGACTGAACTAAGGCCCAGAAAGACAGAAATAAGGGTTATTTAAATTTGTTATAGTAAAGTCAGAGGATTCAAAAGTGAACAAAAGCTTTGCTTTTGAATTCTGATCCATGACCTGCAAGTGGTACTCTGGCACACACTTAAGGTGGAGTTAATCATTCTGTACCGTCACAGGGTTGGTGAGCACCTCCCTCATGTACTCTGCCACAGGGATCGGCCCCGTGGCTTTTATTTTAGAGGTCAGGTGGCGCAGCATGGAGGGTGGTTTGTTGTTTCCATCAGGTGCAGAGCTGCAGAAGAGTTTGGAAGGGGCTGCTTGCCATCGCACTGTCACACAGAAACATTCAATTCATACATTTAAAATCTCATACCGTCCCCATGTTTATCTACACTAATAAACTATTAATTGAATTTGAATTTATTATCTGGATTGACCTCTCACCTGCTGCTGCCGGCCTGACAGGGTGGATAAAACCTCTGCTGAGCAGCTGCTGTGCTTTAACACAGAGAAGAGCCCTCATTCTGCTTCACAGGAAAGAACAGAACCACCTCATTACTGGATATTACTTTAACCACATGGAGGGACTCTCTGCTCTTTGACAGCACAGCGGCTAGCCGGTTAGCTTCAACTACGAGGTTTCTGTTGTTTTTAAGGATACAAAAACAACAGAAACCTGCCGTCGGAGGCGACGTTTCATCTCCTGGTACACAAGATAAAAACGTCTGAATGCGTTTATGGATATCCGTGTGTAAGTTACCGCAGGTCAAACGCTGCACCGTCCCCGTGCAAAAGCGTTAAAGCAACACATGCTAACGCTAAGCTCGTCGCAGTAATAGAGATACCATCCGGTTAAGTGTCAAAATAAAACTTAAAGAAAATGAATCTCAACGAGTGATTAAAGATATACAGTAAATATAAATTATTGTACGAAAACCCAAAGCAGCAATAAAACAATAAAGAAATGATACAGTAATAGTATAAATCGGCCTACATCTTTCTAATGTATCTGAATTATGTTTCATGCCTATAAACTTGATACATTCTGCACGACATGAAAACCACAGCGATACATCTTTCTTCTTTCTTAATCTTCAGTCTCTGTGAATTTGTCTCTGTTTATTCCAGAGCACATTAAGCCAACACCTGCCCTTCAGTGTCCCGTTAGATTTTTTTAAGTCCATTGTGGAAAGTAGCTTTCAATAAATGGATTCTTTCCCATTAATAGTCATTGACATTTTATTTTGAAAGATCTTTCTCCATTTCCTTTGATATCGTGTTTTAAAACAGCATCTTGACGCTTCAGACGGACAACAAACGCTGTGATTGGAGGACAGACGGTTACGTAGGGGACTCGTTTTTAATATTTGATTTAATATTTTTTTAGCGTGCTCATCAACATAATTTACCTTAGTTATTTGTGTAAAACATATCATTTAGATTTATTTGTTTTTATGTAACGAATCAATCTAAAAAAAAAAAGTAAAGCGTGCGTGTTGCCATATTGGCCGGAAATGCCGCCAAAAATCTTTGGCCAAGTATCGACATCACACCTCAGTCATATATGACTACAAAAATATAAAAATAAAAACCGACGCTGTCTGTTTTATATCTTATATCTGAGGTTCATTTCAAATAAAGGTCCGTAAACGAACTTAGAAGGGATGCTTCTCTGGGAGACCAGAACTTGCCTGAAAATTGTCACATTTTAAAGGTTTCTTCCGTAATAATGCAACTAATTGATGTTACCAGTGTAAAAACTACATTACGTCAATTACAGCCTCCCAATAGTCAATTCGGGCTTCTTATTGTTCACAAATGTGAAAAATATTGGCTAACACATAATGACCTTGTACATTTGTATAATTACATTTTAAGATTTTTATAAATTAGTCTTTATTCTAAATTCTGCTACCAGGGAGCTGGTTCTCATTTGATGTTTAGTGACAATAAATGGATTCTGAGTTGAATTCTGATAGCACCCCACTATGAGATCTGGTAACCGTGCACCGGAAACGTTTCGTTCAACATCCGGGTCAGTTTTCCTCACGCTGCAAACAGCATGGCAGCGAAAAACAAGCAACGTAAAAAGTCCAAAAAAGTGACATTTGAGGCCGAAGAAAACGAGCCGGAGGCGAAAAACAGCGGCGGAGAGGAGGATGAAGGTGAAGAGAAGAATACGAAAGAGGAGGAGAGAGAGGAAGAGGAGCTCAGTCTGGAGGAGGTTTTACGGCTCGGAGGAACTAAGGTGAATTTACCTGGTGAAACAGGGCCAACACTCACAGAGTCAGGGAGCGTTTTAACTTGTGCAGGTCGGTTTGTTTTTATAGTTTTCTGAACTGACACGAAAGTTTATGTGACGTAAAAGCACAGTCCCCGGACAGTTTATTAGGTACACTTTGCTGTTACTGGGTTGGATCCACTTTTGCTTTCAGAGCTGCCTTATTTCTTCATAGATTCAACAAGACGCTCGAAACATTCCTAGGAGATTTTGGTCCTTAATGACGTGATCGTATCAGACAGCTGCTGCTCATCCATGATGCGGATCTCCTGTTGGTGCTCTCCTGTATTGAGCTCCGATCCTTTTGGAGGCCATTTGAGTACAGTGAACTCAGTGTCATGTTCAAGTAACCAGGAAGGCTGTGGTGTTTTAACAATGCTCAGTTGGTACTAAGGGACACAAAGTGTGCCAAGTAAATATCCCCACACCATTAGACCGCTGGCTGAACAGTTGTTATACACTCAGGATGGATCCATGCTTCCATGGTATTATTTACATAAATAAATAAAAACGTATCAAATAAAGTAAACATTTAAATACAATTTATACACAAATGTTAATCAGAATTCTTTGTCACATATTTTTAATCTTTTCTTTGTGGTTCTTCTCTACGTCTTTAGGCCGACTATATCCTCCTCGCCGGCCTCGAAGACTCCAACGAGCTCGTTGATGGCGGCATGAAAGGAGCGATAGATGACCTGGAGGAGGGCGAGCTGGAGTCATTCATCACCAAGCTGGGCATCCGGGCATACGCGACGCAGCAAACCATTCCGGACAAGCCTGAGGGTGAAGCCGCCACGGCTGCCACAGCTGCTGACGAGAAGAAAGCTAAAAAGGTCAAAGTGGAGAAAGCAGAGGAGACGGCACCTGACACTCAGCCCAACGTCGTCGATCAGAAGCAGAAGAAGACAAAAGAGGCGCGGGTATCGGCGGCAAAAAAGGCGAAGCAGAGCCAGACCGTGTTTGAGTTCCAGCCACGGCAGGTGCTGCTGATCAAACCTGGTGGTAAGTGGTTCGAGCTGGATTACACAGAAGAGGGCTCGTCGGCGCCACAGGATGCTGCCCTGGTCTCGCAGTACAAGACGCTCGCTCAGCAGCTGTTCGAGGCTGAGGTGACCCTCTACAAGACCAAGAAGAGCTTGCAGAAAGGCGCCAACTCGGCCTGGATGAAGACAGTTGTCTCCTCTGGCGTGCTGGCGGACAGAATGGCAGCCATGACGGTTCTGATTCAGGACGCTCCGGTGCACATGCTGGAGCACGTGGAGAACCTAGTCACCATGGTGAAGAAGAAGGGCAGTCGGCGGATGGGTCTGATGGCAATGGACACGCTGCGAGAGCTGCTGCTGTCCAACCTGCTGCCCGGGGACAGGAAGCTCCGCACCTTTGCCCAGCACCCGTTCGACCAGCTTGAGGAGAAGGCCAGCGGCAACCGCGACGCCCGCGACCGCCGCCTCATCCTCTGGTACTTTGAACACAAGCTGAAGCACCACGTGGCTGAGTTTGTGGTGGCGCTGGACTCGGTGGCTCACGACACAGTGCCTGCCACCAAGGCAAAGGCGTTAGCCACTGCCCATGAGCTGCTGTGCAGCCGTCCAGAACAAGAGAAGGCGCTGCTCACCCAAGTGGTAAACAAGCTTGGAGACCCCGAGTACAAGACGGCGGCAAAGGCATCGTACCTGCTGGAGACACTGCTGCACAAACACCCCAACATGAAAGGGGTGGTGTGCTGCGAGGTGGAGCGGCTCCTGTTCCGACCCAACATCAGCCCGAAGGCGCAGTACTACGCCGTGTGCTTCCTCAGCCAGGTGATCCTGAGCCACGACGAGGACGGGCTCGCCGCCAAGCTCATCACCATCTACTTCTCCTTCTTCCGTGCCTGCGTCAAAAAGAAGGACATTGAGTCGAAGATGCTGAGTGCGCTGTTGGCGGGCGTGAACAGGGCGTATCCCTACACCAGCACCGGGGACGACAAAGTGAGAGAGCAGATGGACACACTCTTCAAAGTGGTTCATCTGGTGAAGTTCAACACAGCCGTGCAGGCGCTCATGCTGCTGTTCCAGGTGATGGACTCCCAGCAGAGCATCTCGGACCGGTACTATGTGGCTCTGTACAGGTAAGGAAAACCTTGCCTGGCAGCTTGTTTGTGGGCTCTAAACAGACAGCATTCAGGTGTTTACTTTCTCCACCTGTGTTGCAGGAAGCTGCTGGACCCCGGGCTGTCGTCGTCCTCCCGCCCGAACATGTTCCTGAACCTGCTGTACAAATCCATGAAGGCTGACGTGGCGCTGAGGCGGGTCAAAGCCTTTGTCAAACGGCTGCTGCAGATCAGCGCCGAGCAGAGCGCCAGCTTCGCCTGTGGGGCGCTCTTCTTGGTGTCGGAGGTCATGAGGGCCAAACCGGGCCTGAAGATACTGCTGCAGGAGGCGGAGGGGGTAAGAAATCTCAGAGGGTGTAAAACTGATGCTTTAGATTTTCCTTTTGGACAAAAATGCTCTCAAAGATGAACTGCTTTAAACTTTTGAATTATGGCTTCATTCAGAATGAGGAAGAGGAGGCGTTCAAAGACCTCGCTGCAGATGATGATGATGAAGAGGAGCGATTCGTGGATGCTGACAAACTAGAGGAACAAACAAACACCGAGGCAGAGGAGGTCAAACCTGCAGCATCATGGGTACATCACCAGAACCTGGAAGGTCTGTGAAACGCAAAGATTAGTGCTGACGTTCTCTGTTTGAAAACTGTTGTTGAAGGATGGGTTTAATCTAACATAACCGCCAGTGCCCCTGGTACTTTCCACCATTTCCACCCACTGTCTTCCTGGGAGGCTATTGTTTAATAGCTAGTTGTTTTGTTTTAGCTTCATGAAACTAATTGCAGATTTTTTTTATTTGCCTGAATCAGGAAAAACTTTTAGATCATGTTGTAATCTCTATTCCAGCTAATTTTGTGTGTTTGTTGCACCTGGCTGATTAAAATAAAGCAGGACAGTAAATAAGAAGACGAGCTTCATCATGTTTGTTTCTCTGTCCTGTTTTCTTTCAGGAATGAAGAGTGTTCAGAGCTACGACCCGCTGCACAGAAACCCGTTATTCTGCGGTGCAGATCGCTCGACTTTATGGGAGCTGCAGAAGGTAAAAAAATCTGTCCTAATAAACACAAAGTTCGTAACCAGAGCTTGTGTTCACAAGCTGCTGTGTATAACCTAATGTCTGATGTTCTCTGCAGCTCGCTCTGCACTTCCATCCGTCAGTGTCGCTGTTTGCAAAAACCATTCTGCAGGTAAAAGCCCCGCCCCTTTCCACATGCTCAGGAGCTCTGTAGTCGTCATGATTGTTGCTGTTAATGTTTGATATGATTTTATTTCCACAGGGAGACTTCATCCAGTACTCTGGGGACCCTCTGCAGGACTTCACCCTCATCCGCTTCCTCGATCGATTTGTCTTCAGAAACCCCAAACAGCTCAAAGCAGAACGTAAGACAAACAAGCACCGAATTCTATTGGATGCATTTTGTAAAATGGATCAAAAATGATGCAACATAAAC